ATCTACAAAAAAGCAATCATAAAGATATGTGGACAACAAATTGTTAAGTAAAAATAGAATGGATGTGGGAAAGGCTGGACAGCAAGGGTGGACAAGGGGGGGGGGGGGTGAGAGAAAGCGAGATGAAGAGAGTAAGAGACAGAAAAATAGAAGAAAAAAGGAGGGAGAGAAATAAAGAATAAATAAAGACAGGGGAGTGGGAATAACGTGAAAGAACGGAAGGATATTAGGAAGTAGATTGATAGAAAGATGGAGGGAGAGGGAGAGAGGGGATGGATTAAGAGAGAGAAAGAAAGAGAGAGAGAGAGAAAGAGAGAGAGAGAGAGAGAGATTTGAGTGACGCTTGAGGTGGCGAGGCTGTAGCTAATATGCGAGCGGATTTTCAATAAAGCACAATAGAATCAATCAGAAATTGCATTTCCCACATGATGAACCTGACGGGATTTTACGGAAACCTTCAATAAAACGCAGACCTCAATACCTCCAAAACGCGATCCCACACAAAATAGAGCTTCTAGCTACTTAGAGGATCGGACAATAGCTGAATTTGTTTGTGAACATTTGAAAAATATCTGCCCTAGTTAATTTCTTTCAACTGGCCTGTCTCTCAAAGCGATATTAGGGCACTGTCTTGATTACTGGGCCGGTCTGAAGCAGAAAATATCCCTTAGGCAATGTGGGATTGAAAGAGAGAGAGAGAGAGAGAAGAGAGGAAAATGAAGTACGGTGCAGTTGATGGAGGGATGAGGAGAAAATGAGAGATTGTAGTGAGAAGGAAAGAAAACCCCAGATGTATAGCGAAAAGGACACAAAATGATACCACGGTAAGGAATGAAAGAGAAAGGGCTGAGAGTGGGGTGGGTGAGAGAAGTGTGAAGGTGGGGGCGGGGAGAAGATAAAAATTAGATAGAGTTATATATATATATATATAAATATAAGAAAAAAAGTATTCCAAAAAAAATACTGTGAAATAGACGAAAACAATAAATCAGGACAGAAAATTAGGAGATGAAATGAGAGAGAAAGAGAGAGAGAAAAAAGAAAGAAAGAGAGGTAGACAGAGGGAGAGAGGGAGGGGGGGGGGGGGAGGGGGAGAGAGAGAGAGAGAGGGGGGGGGGTAAGCCTGAGAGAACGCGAACGAGTTGTGATTTTCGGGGATACCGCACCGTGCGGAGAAGTGATCTATCGCCCTCTTTAGACACATCTCATCAAAGTCTTGTGCAGTTCGACAATCCCAGTATGACATAAAAGGGGAACAACTCACATTACACGCAATATAGTTTTAAGATATCATATATCGTATCAAATTATATCATGTTTAATTTTGTAATCAATACGTCTGTGAAGAAATATCGTACTTGGTGTGTGTTGGCATACAATATTGTGTGCATGTATTTTGTTAAATCTACAGATCAACATCATATTTCGCTGGCGGTTTCCAACTAGATGAATGTTACTTCCCTTTTTCTCTCTTGGAAATCAGGGTCAATTCTCATGATATTTACCTAAATATGGTACATTCTATATAGGCTAATTACACGTAATACAAACTTATTTATGGTAGCATTTTGCAAATTTTGTCTGTTCGAAAATTACCATTCTTTGAGCAAAACCAACCTCTAGCTATTTGATCATTGTGTAGCATTTTGTCAGGTCATTCAATTCGCTTGCTACAGGTTCAACGGAAAGGACATTTTCGACGAGGAAAAAAAAAGAATGAAGTCCCCATATCCTCTTTGAGTTTGACTACGGTCGAGGTAGCCTGGCATATACTATTACACGCACTTTCATTTATGCATTGTGTTGGGCGTGGGAAAGTTTAGGACTTGTAAGGAAAGACTCCACGTTTGAGAGCTCCGTCTTGGATTAGCTCATTTTCGCGTTTCAATTCCGTCTTGTCGAGTATTTCTTTCCCCAAACCCTTTCTTTATTCATTTTGCCATTTTCCGATTCAACACAATCAAATATCAGATAATTCCAGTTCACTTCAGTTTAGGTTGATCGTTTTTTACGGAGATGGCGAAAATAAACGGCTTGGCTCGACTGACGATGTCCTTTATCATTATGACAATCAATAGAATGATTGAACAAAAATGAGTTTTTCCATTCATCTGTTTATATCGAGGACTAAAAATATAGCTCTATAAAAAACATAGAAAACTATCTAACCAATCGTCTGTTTTGGGGAGACAAACGGAACAACAATATCCATTGCAAGAGCAAAGACAACCGTCAAAGAAGTGTAATTAGTTTATTATTATGCAGATCTCATTGTATTGTACTAAACAGATAAATCTCAGGATATAGTGCTGTCTTTAGAGATTGACTGTATCTGACAATATTCGGGTAAATTGAATAATACAAAACTCGTTGTATTCAGTTAATATAACTATAACCAAAACCATTATTTTTTCCCCAAGCAAAAATCACATTTGTTTTTAATAAATTAATTCAAAATTTCTATATAAGAACCATGGTACCCTTTCACATGTTTACTGCTCTGTTATATAAAACTTTCACACATTTAATAAACATACTGTGGGTATTTTGATCTACCTAAAGATTACACTAAACACCTCCCTAAGTTTACATTATCAATCCTCATTACTTACATGTATAAGCGGCTCTGCTGCAGTGGGCTTTATAATACTTATTTATACACAAAATAAATGTACATGCGCAAACCGTTAAGATTTCCGAACATAACAATTATATATCTAAGTACGTGCTCGTGTTAATAGCTACGAAAATCATCATTCAATTATCAGTAGGTTGCTCAGTTCACGTACAAAAATTAAAAAACGAAAGGTCCCTGGTCTATTCATGGACCCTCCATGGTCTATCGGTCAGTCGCTTATGACAGCTCGCCAGATCTTTGGCCGTGCATTTACGTACGGACTCGATAAGCATTGGCCACCCCCTGTTCAACAACCAGCTGTGTTCCGTAAATCCTATGGCACACAGAGCAATTAAGATGGAATGCTCTTAGGAGAATCCCTGTCAGATCGTTATCATTCATCCTCTTAATCAGAGTTTACCCAGAAAGAAAGCTGTTCTTCAATCTTGGTCGAGTTATCAGCAAGCGTTCGGAGAGCCATTGGAAAGGCGAAGCCAAGCTTGTATACAACACGACAATTCGATTTCGTCACACTACATACAACGACGTTATGCTCAAATTGTTCCTTAGAACAATGATCACAAAGAACAATGATGTGAGATTTGACTGAGTAAAGGATTCGTTATAATTATGTTGATCATTCTTCCCGTGATTATACAAATTTGGCTAATGTTAATTTTGTACTAGAAAATATAGATAGGCTAGGTGGATGATCACAGTAGAAAAAAGTAGTACCCTTACAAAATTCCCTTCTCCTATAACGAATATACATTATTATTAATGAGAGTTGAACTTTTATCGCTGTTTATCATTTTTACTAGATTGAATATAAAGAAAATCAGACATTCACATTAATGTGATCCAAATGAATAGATTTTACAATTCCATTAGAAACGGTGTACATGAATGGTGAAATCCACTGCAAGTTTGAATTTATACATGACCAGGGGTTTGCAATCTGCTTAATTTACCCTTTTTTGGAGTCTCTCTTTTTTGGAGAGCGACATTAAATTATAGTTTTCATCTTTGAGTTAATAATTATATTATAAAGTACTATCATAAAGGCATAGGTAGTTATAAATAGAAAGCATTTATATATTCTATCTAAAAACATATTTGTATATAACCATATTTTTAATATTAAATATAGTTTTAAAAGCCTCTACCGGTAGTTTAAGTGATTTGGGGAAACATAGATATTGGTTAAAACTTGACATAAAACGAAACCATGATGTCCAACAAATGTCAACATGTAACAGGCTCATCAAATTCTACACAGGCTAACATGAAGGGCATATAAAATCACAAGGGTAAATTCAAACACCATAGTAATTATTCCCTATCATTGTCTACTCACAGCTCTTCTCTATAAACAAAATCCCCAATGTATATGTAACTTCTAAAAATGTCATTTGTTTAGTTTTTGTAGGAAGGCTTAAATTATTTTCGGCCACGAAAATGTAATATCACATCCTAACCTTTGAAGATTATACTTTCAAAATAAAGTGGACAACAACAAACTAGTATAGGTTTACTCCTTTATAACTTATAAGAGGGTCAGTGAATAATATTTGTTGATCCATCGTAGTTTCTCATATCTTTCTAGTTCCTAAGCTATTTATAAGTTGGGAATTATTCCAAAGAATGCTTTCGCATAAAGTAACCTTTTGTTGCCGAAATTTCAACGAGAAATTAAATCGAGAGATATTGATGTATTAAAAAACCCTTATCTGTAAATCGCACTGTGGACATACAGAATTGACCCGATAAATAGTTAAATTATTTGCTTCTGTGCACTTGAATGGACGAGAAATGTATGCAGTGTATACTTCTTTGCTCGGGAAGTTTTTTTTTTTTTTTTTTTTCTGACGGGTGCACTGCTCAAGAGCGATGGGAATGAAGATTTATATGTTGCGTGTTACAAGGGCTTAGATTGGCAAGTCTGTTTTGTCGTAAGCTGTGAATGTTCAAATAAACTAGTCGAATTAGTGACGGTTTAAGCCCTTATTAGCCCCTGATTTGTCTGCTACATGTATGTACACAGCCTACCCCTAATGATGACCCGGCTACGTGATTTTTCTTCGAGCAAGAACTGTTGAACACAAACACTGGTTTCACGAGTACAAAACAGATCAATATGGGGATAGGATTCGATGTATATTTCGTGCTTAGTGCAAGTGAGCTGGAACATGAAATATCTGTGAAGTTTCATAATTAATCTTGAAGATGAATATGGTATAAGTGGAGCAATTAGCTCATTTGGACGTCGAGATTTGTAAAGGAAAAGTAGCTGTCAATATATGAACGGCTACAATCGACCGCGTACGCTCTGTGTGTGGCCAGCTCGTCATGTGTGGTAGATATGGGCCGCGCTGATTGGCTGGACGTGGGGAATGGGGGCGGAGCGAAAAAATGGTGAAAGAGTAGTATAGCTTGAATAGGTTGCAGAGTTGGATATTCTTGGTTATGAATCTCTGTCGTGGTGCACGTCGGAATCCTGAATCAGCCTCAGTGAGATAAACCTCCATGCCAATGTACGCTTCACGCACCTCGCCAGGCGAAGTCCACCCCGGCAGCGCCCCGGTATCGAATCAAGGAATGGCGATGCAACCTTATCATTCAGCGGCTCCTTCCATACCTGGCGTCATGCATTCGGTGTTTCCACCAGAACAGGGCTACTATCGGCACCCGACCTACTCGGGCATGCCGATGTCGATGTATGGTCATGAGCAGTATCCAGGCATGGCTCGATCACCGTATGGACCTTATGCCCCTCAGCAAGCCAACCCAAAGGACATGGTCAAACCTCCTTATTCTTACATTGCTCTCATAGCCATGGCCATCATGAATGCTTCGGACAAGAAAATCACCCTCAACGGAATATACCAGTTTATCATGGACAGGTTTCCGTTCTACAGGGAAAACAAACAGGGTTGGCAGAACTCGATACGTCATAATTTGTCTCTGAATGACTGCTTTATCAAAATACCTCGGGATGATAAGAAACCAGGCAAGGGGAGCTACTGGAGTCTGGATCCTGATAGCTATAACATGTTCGACAATGGGAGTTATCTGAGGAGGAGAAAGCGTTTCAAGAGGAAAGATATGATGAAAGGAGACAAGGATGACCGTGAGTGTGACCAGCTGAGGAAGGGTCAAGAGGAAGGGGTGAACCATCCGACTGGACAGCAGAGTGAGGAGAAACTGGGTAAGCCCAATGGGGTTGTGTGTACTGGTGAGATGGGTGATAGTTCCATAAATCGTGATGTGATTCAAACGAGTGCCGCTTTGATAACACCCAAAGTAGAACCCATGGACTCCCCTTCGGACGTTTTAAATGAACCCTCCCCAACCCAACCCCATCATCAGATGGCAGTAGATAACCCGCTGCTCGAACCCTCACACCACTCGGCTAACTACACGGTAGATTCCCTCATGGCCATGCGACAGCGCGGAGAAGGCGTTGTCACCATGGTCGGCGGTGGGACGGGGAGCGACATCCAAGCCAGCACTCAGGCCTTACCTCCCCGCACGGGTCAGCTCCTATCTCCGCAGCCGCTCGGGTACTCACCGCAGCTCAATCAGTCTCAGTTCAACCGAATCACTTGCTCCAAGCGACCCGTGGTCAGCTCGCTGAATCAATACCAATGTCCAACTTCATACGATCCTGAATCTATGGCGATGGGTAAGCATATGGCCATCGCACCAACACCTGAAGAAATTCAACATGAGCATGGACTCAATCAACGCCTCAGCCCTCCCGGCCCTAGCCCGATCCTTACCACACCATCGAGCACCGTGAATGTACACCGCTCGAATTCATGGTACCACGGTACAAGTCCCGATGTGCACTCATCGACGTCGAGTCAAGACCATTACGGCGGTATGTACAACCCTCAAAGATCTGTGTCTCTATCACATGCTGCACATCAAAACGGTCAACTATCATCCTCAGCGAATGCCAACGAAAGCTGCCAGCTCTCGATGTCGGCGATGAGCAGCTACCGGTCATCATCCTCAGGTTCGACCCCAGCTTCTATGTACCCGCCATCAGCGCATTACAGCTACGATTGTTCGAAGTACTGATGAGACTATGCCAAAAAAATGACGTTTGAACTTTCGATTGGCGAAAGAAAAACAAAAACGCTTGATACCAAAATCATTATGAACATCAATGGTCTGGTTGTGTGTTTAGTGTAGTCAAAAGTTCGCGATGAGTGATTGTGATGGTGTGAAGATATTCCATCTTTCTTTGAAAGGAGGAGCAACAAGAGGACAGACAGACAGATAGACAAACACATATACTGGTGGGTCAAGTCTACAATAAATTTCATATATTATTTATGTTGATCTCTGTTAAAATTTTAATGATTAATTCAGTCAGAAGATATAGATAATATTTACCTGGTACTTATGTTTACATTAACTGTGTAAGGTCCGAATGGTTAAAATCGTATATTCTCTGTTCAAAATTTAGCCCATAAGTAACAGTCTTTCAAATTATTAACAAACAAAATCTCATGAAAGTAACAGAAGTACATGTAGATAGTTTTCTGAAAAGTTAAAAATACTTTTTTTTCCTCCTGATATACCAAAGTTAACATGGGGTGGTATTGTGCATTATAGTCTAATGTTTGTTTGTATATGTCTTATATCTTACCTCGCGTTATTTTCTTTTTCTTAATTATTTTTTGTTTGTAGTATGAACTAGAAAAATGTTGATGCTAATAAGTTGTCACTATCCTGATAGTGTCAGTCTCTCTTTCGGTTGGCAAATAAATCTCTTGGAAATTTGAAGAAAAACAAGTTTGGTAAAGTTTACATTTACAGACCTGAGAATTTTAAATCCCCTCTCTCCAACAGAGAGAGAGAGAGAGAGACAAAAATCTGACGATCGCGGTTATAATTTTTCTTCTGGATTCTTCGTCTTCAATAACTCACGTTACTGAGCAACAGTTATTAGTAAACAGACTACAGTAAAATATCACAAAATATTTCCCTACACTTTGTTGTACAAACAAGGCACCAGACTACAAAAGCTATCAAAAGGTGTAATTCCAATCAACTAATCTGGGCTGTACCTTTGTGATAGGGGAGAATTAGTAGACCACCAAATTGTTATAATCTCTACAATGACAATGATGTGGCGGTCCCTTTGATCTTGACGTTAGTTGTTGGAAATATCGATGACAAAGTGATAAGCATCATTCATATTTCTTTTATGTATCGCCTGAAAACTATCTTTACGTTGTTGTTAACTTAATTTTGTTCCAGAATAATTTCATACGGTGTATTGCCATTTAAATCCATCCTTCGGTGTAGGGGTTTACGTTACCGTTGCACGGACGCACTTGTCATGGTGTATTGTTCCGATAAACCAACATAACTTCTGCATATTATTTACTGTTTTCTTTAAATTCTGGTCAGTATATAGGTTGGGAAATCTTCTCAAGTTAAATGGTTTTCGGGGCTAGCTTTAAACAAAGCAGTCGAAAAATCCTTTCCAAAAATCATGGCAATTGCGTCCATTGTTATAAGGGTTTGTTATGAAATTCATCGTCGAATTTAGAACGAGAATTTGTGTAAAGTGTTTATTGTGTCGTTGGTATTTCTAATGCAGGGTTCTCTGATATAGACCTTATGCAAAAACTAAAGAGCTGCTGAATGTTTAGAATTCTAGCTCATTTGTCATGGGTGTATATTTGTAGTGTACGTACGTGTACATGTACCTGTTCTAATCTGTTGTGAGATAAGAAATTGTGTTCTGTAATAGGTTTAGACTTTTATCGTCGACAGGGAAAGAGGGAAAGGATAACGAATGTCAAAGTCTTGTCTTCCACTTCTCAAACAAAACCTAGAACATCACAAAGCACGAGATGTAAATTATGGCACGGATAAAACAGGGTTCTTCATGGATAATGGATTCTTTTCTCTAATACTTTTTACGAAAGTTTTATGTGCATATCATTATAGATCTGACCAATCAGAAGAGTTTATTGATTGTGATTAGAGATGTCTGTTAGAGCGTAGCTTAATTTTTGCCTAAGTGTCTACCGAACCTCGATGATGCAACCGTTAATAGTCATACTTTATTCAGATAATTTTCCTCATACGTGTATTTATATTTTTTATTGTTTTAATTTTTTACATATATTTTATTGATAAAGAATAATTTCTTACACCGATTCGCATAAAATTTAACTCACTTGTATCCCCATGATTATGAAAACGAATTTTGTAAGCGATTTTCATTTCGATAGAGAGGAGAAAATAACGACCGATGACCCGAAAGATGAAGAAACTATATTTTTCACTATCCAATGAAAAGAGCAAGCAGGGGTTGCTAACCGATCTAATTCCTTTCTATTTCATCTCACCTTTCAGTACAAATTGAATTAGTTCTTGAATGCATAGATTAAACTCCATGTATAAATAGAAATGTCAATACTGTCTCGGCTCTTGGGTGTACTATTGTTACGGGAGTGATCTCAGTGAGGGCGGCTGGAGATTTCACTGTCAATATCTCGCTCTCGTCGAAGAAACTTGCCCCCTTTTGGGTAGCCCGACATGATCTATGTTTTCGTAATAATCGTCCTTATGACTTTGATTTTGATGTTAAAGTTCAAGTGAAGTATTTTTTTTTGTAAGATAAATAAATTACGGATATTTTTAAGTGTTTAGATAAACTTTAGATAATAAGTAAGAAGGACTTTTGCTCCAATTTACCACGTGAAATAGGTCATTCCTGATAACAAAAGATATTTCTCAAGTTTCTAATTCCCGTTACTACCGTCTATGAATGAATGTTGAAAAGGGGTCGAAGCAACGTCCTAAGTATGTGTGAAAATGTTATCAACTCCCGAAGTGCTAAAAGAAGAAAAAAGATAATTTAAATAAACACTATCATTGACTGGTTTAGAGTAACAAGTCAAATTTGCAGTCGCAAATTGGGGGTAACTCTCTACGGAATCATATTCCTATTAAGAATCGAACCCGCGAGACCTGAATTAGACTATGGCGTAATATGTAGAGTGCCATATTTCAAGGCATCCTATTCTTCCCTTATATAGTTTTCATCACACGATTCACATGCATCGACTTAATATGCCGTACATGAAATAAATCAATATGGCAGTTTTGGTAGAGTGTGAGGTGGTGTCGCTATGTAAATGTTGCCCGTCACCTGAGCCTTACACTCGGGCTAGCTCACGCGTCTGTAATCTCGACGTTTTATACGTGCATTCGAGTCGCTCCGTCGAACCTCTTATCGGGGTAGGAGAAGAAGAAGAAAAAAATGTATGGGGAGAGACAGAAAAAAATGGTTTCAATCGGATTAATTTTCCATGAGTGAGTTTTGAGATTACGATTTAATTGAAATCTCGACCCCGTCTGACAGACAGCAGGCATGGCAGGGCTGGTGTGATGCAGGCTTAGATTGGGGGAGACTCGAGTGTTGTCTGTATGCTCACGTAAATTATTCTTGCCATAAATCATGACCATTATACATCAAGTTTTGTCTGCCAAAAGCAACACTGATACTTAATTGAGATAGATATTTTAACGTTCGAATTGCTGTCATTAGTCGTATTGAGTTTTCCTGTTTATGAATACCAAAACATTGTTTTGACGTCATATTTTATTGTGTCAAAATAAGTTCATATTTCAGAACGTCAAGAACTCAGACCATGCAGTGCTAAATATTATTTTTGTAATTTCACATGTGTTTATTTTGTAAGATCTCATGTAAATGTTACGTCACCATTTTCGTTCACTGTTAAGTTTAATTAGTCCTTGTTTATGTTGCTTCCATGATATAATTAAAGTAGTCCTTAAGTCATATTCTTTCTTTATTTAGTAATATTAAACGGCAATAATTTTTGCCAAAGTGAAATTAATTAATAACAAGGCCCAAATGTGTACATTTTGTAGTCTTAAGTCATGTAGAACTTAATAAGATTAGCAAAGGATAGTATATTTACTATTTAATTTCCGCAGCCGGTTTCGTGTAAGAAATTTTTCAGTTGTCAGTTCGGGAATTCGAATATTTCGATTTTCTATTTTTACGTCACATCACTCTTTTATCGTGTTTCTTTTTTCATGTCAGGGACAATAATTGATGTAGTCCAAGCAAAGTTTATAAATGTTCAGTGAAAAAATATTAACTATTGTTTTTATGAATATTGAAAATAAAGAGAGGCATCATTCTTGCTCAATGAAAAGGAAGAGATTATTTTCTATGATTTATTATTTTACAATGTTTCATATTTTCCTGACCTGCCTATACGTATTTGTAATTAGAAAATTGGTTTATCAACTAATATTCTTGAATATTTTTAAATAATTTTTTATAATTGAACACATTAATTGTTATTCTCAATTTGACATGCATGCATAGGAACTATCTTCCAAATGTAAAGTCAGGTACTTGTTAGGACATGTGTAGAGAGGAGCAAATCGTCTAAATTCATTCATTACATCCATCAAATTCAAGCCTGCCAGATTCCTGGACATAATGCCTAAATACAACATTATGTATTTCCAACTTAAAATTCATATTTTGTTTGATTTTTTTTCTTGAAATGAAATATACCGTAAGTATTCACCACCAAACACTTAGGTACGAAGATATAGATATGATTTTTTTTTCTTCTACACTTCCAGAACGCATCTCTCGCAATCTAGGATATCATTGAATAAAATTATGGATCTTGCCCATAGCCTACTGGTGTTTATCGATCCTCTATATAACCACAAGAAAAGCCCATTCTACCCCCAAAAGAGGACTCACCATTATACCCAAGGGAAGATTTGTTGGTCGATCGAGATAGATGATAGGATGAAGAGCTGTTATAAGCCAAAATGGGAATATAATTTTGCCCCTTGTCGGTAATATAATTTATGTATTTCAAAAAAGGGAACTGGTCTAAGGTTTTTTTTAACATGGAGGAAATGCGGATGCACGTATTGACGATGAGTGATGATGGAATTTGTTATAATCATAATAGTTGTGATTCCGCTATTACGTCAAATTATGATGATGAGACTGATTGCGTTTTTGATGATGGGTGTACTAGTGATTATAACGCTGATATTGGTGGTAATTATGCTGCTGTTGATTGTGATAATAAGTGATGACGTTGATGTTTTATGATGATGATGATAATGATGATGATGATGATGAATACACGATCGCAAAGAATAAACGAAACATCAACCTAAGACAATTTAAGTAACCTTGTGCGAATATTACAATGACGTATTACGTAATCACGTACAACATTGCATTAAAATAACTCCTTAGTTGATATCTCGAAAGTCTTTGCGATCGGTTTAATTATGACTATGCGAATGATTTTGATGACTATAATATTAATACAAATGATGATTTATTTTTTTGATATATTTATTCAATTTCAAATTTCAACACAACATCAAATGCTATACATGTAACGCATAGACAATGATAAAATGATGATAATACATATAATAACAATTATTATACAAAACGATTAAAAAAAGAACAACAACAAGACAAAATGCCTGGGGATTGCCAAAAGAAATGCTTCTGCTGCCGCTGATGGTGATGATGCTGACGATGATGGTGATGATAGTGGTGTTGGTGGTGATGGAATATAATGATAATAAAGTTCATGAAGCTGTCAAAATTGCATCATATTTTTGATACTAATCACGCGCTGAAATCCAAATCAAGATACGATTTATAAACTTAATACACTTTACTGACATGCAGATACAAATACTTGCTCATTAATCATTCACTGTCACTAAATGTGAAGTTGCAAAAAGAAAGTGATTTGTTATGGTTAAATCTTCCATTATCATGATCATATTTCATGAACGTAGATTGTATACGAAACAGCTATTGCGTCATACAATACAATCTCTTGTTTTCTTTTGGTATGATAATATAAATAGAATTCTTTATAACAATCTTTACCATAATCGTTTATTTCGGTAAATGGGCTATATGATTAATGATGACGATGGTGATTGTGATGATGATGGTGGTGATGATGATGATGATGATGGTGGTGGTGATGATGATGTTCATGATGACAGTAATGTTTCTAACCAGCTGATGACGATGAAGATCATTAAAGACAGTGGTTTATCTGAGATGATGCAAAATAAAGACAGATGAAAACACCCGTATATAAATACGTTACGGTGTGGCAACATTATTTGATGAGAATGGATCAGTTCGAGAGAATAATCGCGAATTATCAATGTTCATTCCATGAACCAAAGCGGCTCTTATTATAATTAAAATTAATATTATGGCGATTAGTGATTACAAAACCGTTTAAACAATAATCATCCTAAAAAAAAATAATTTTTAATTACATGAAACATCATTTTAACTATTCCATATTTTTTTATACTGCTGTTTCTAACACAATTGAGATAGTTGACACACAAATATGATCATGTCACTGTTCTTCTTCTTACTTTGAAGTTAAAGCCCCTCTAAAGTGTTTTGAGCCCGAAATTCGACCAAAATTTGATGGCAAAATTTCACTTAAATTTATTGTATCATTATGTGAAAGAAAATGTCATTTAGGACACACTTCTGCAAAGATCCCCCCTCCCCCCCCCCTAAAAAAAAAAATTGTTTGAACTTTGAAGACATATATAGATAACAGAAAACATAATTTCGGTTTTCTAAATTTTTGTATTTTTTCATCAATATTCGACTTCAAACACATTTGTTTTGCAAATCCTTGCAGAAATGTGTCTTAAATGACACCCTCTTTCATATTATAATTCAATTTAAGTGAAATTTTGCCATCAAATTTGGGGGCTCTCAACTCTTTTAGAGGGGCTTTAAACTTAAATTTGTATTATAATTTCAACGCAAATCGACAGACTATCCCAGTACGTGTTTTGTAATATGCTTTGATACTAAACATACTAGGAAGCTATACTGTCTAATTGAGCTCGTAAATAATAGGTGTATTTAAGGAATGCTATTACTTCTCTCTTGTATTTGACTCTTGAGAACAATGTTATTCAAATATTTATCTTCCTCTTTCTTTGTTATTCTTCCCAAGCGTGCCAAGGGGAGACCGAGAGCAGACAAAGATACACTCGTCAACATGAACAGGCCACAAAAGAACTCCACATAGAAAAGGCTTTACAAAAATGTCTTTTTGCACATGGATCTTAATAAATGAACTGTTTTTAACAAATTAATCACAAATTTAAACAT